AGGACTTTTCGAGGCATCCAGGGCACCAATCATCAATTTGTTTTCATGTTCTCATGGAATTTTTCGATCATAAAGGGTATCTCTCCAGCGGAGTATAACATAGGGATAATGATGAATAAAGGCAATATTTGCACTAAAAAATTGTATTGCGTAGGATGGGATTAGGTTTTTTCCACTTCCAAGCTTTGTTTCTCTTAAGTGCTCCACTACTAAATTTCACCCCTTTCAGAATTTTAAGTGTCTCAGCCACCACCTTTAGGAATTTCACAGACAGGCTTGCCCTGCTTGACTTCAAGTCCAAGATAATCCATGATCCTCAAAACATCTTTGGTTCATGGAACGATTCTCTCCATTTTTGCCGGTGGCAGGGCGTTAGGTGCGGCTGCAGACATGAGAGAGTTACTGTCTTAAAGTTAGACTCCAGTGGCTTGGTGGGTTCTATATCACCTGCTTTGGGAAATCTCAGCTTCTTATGGGGACTTGATCTGTCAAACAATACCCTCCAAGGTAAAATCCCCGATGGACTTGGTAGACTCTTCAGGCTGCAGATTCTTGTCTTAAGCAATAATTCTTTTGTTGGGGAGATACCTGGCAACCTGTCACACTGCTCTAAGCTCGACTATCTTGGTTTGGCTTCAAATAACCTTGTGGGAAAAATTCCTGCAGAGCTTGTGTCTTTGTCGAAGTTAGAGAAACTCGTTATTCACAAGAACAATTTGTCAGGAGCAATACCTCCTTTCATTGGGAACCTTACCTCTCTTAACAGCATATCAGCAGCTGCTAATAATTTTCAAGGAAGGATTCCAGACACCTTGGGTCAACTAAAGAACTTGGAATCTCTTGGACTCGGTACAAATTTTCTTTCAGGTACCATCCCACTACCCTTGTATAATTTGTCTACCCTCAGCATTTTGTCCTTGTCTGAAAATCAACTTCAAGGATATCTTCCATCAGATATAGGCCTCTCTTTGCCAAACCTACAATATATCCAAATTCGAGCAAACCAATTTTCTGGATCAATTCCACTGTCCATATCCAATTCTTCAAATCTGCAAGTTTTGGAAGCAGGAGATAACAGCTTCTCTGGAAAATTGTCAGTAAATTTTGGAGGCCTAAAGCATCTGGCTGTAGTTTCATTGAGCTTCAACAAGATGGGAAGTGGGGAGCCTGGTGAATTAAGTTTTCTCGATTCTCTGATCAATTGCCCCAGTTTGTATGCAATTGATCTAGTTCGTAACCATTTTGAAGGGATGTTGCCTAATTCTTTAGGCAATCTGTCAACTGGGCTCACCTTTCTAGGCTTGGGACAAAATCAACTATTTGGAGGCATCCATTCTGGGATAGGTAATCTTATCAACTTAAACACCCTAGGTTTGGAATTTAATCAGCTTAGTGGTCCTATACCTCTTGAGATTGGTAAACTTAGGATGTTGCAACGATTTTCTCTATCTTACAACAGGCTCTCAGGTCATATCCCTTCCTCCATAGGAAACTTAACTTTGTTGCTTGAATTTGACTTGCAAAGAAATCAATTGCAGGGAACCATACCTTCAAGTATTGGCAATTGTCAAAAGTTGTTGCTGTTACATCTTTCTAGAAATAATCTTAGTGGCAATGCTCCTAAAGAACTTTTCGCTATTTCATCCCTATCGATTTCACTAGACCTCTCTCAAAACTATTTTAATGGATCCTTACCTTCAGAAATTGGTAGTCTGAAAAGCTTAGCGAAACTGAATGTTTCTTATAATGAGTTTTCTGGGGAAATTCCAAGTACACTTGCTAGCTGCACAAGCCTCGAATATCTATACATGCAGCACAACTTCTTTCAAGGATCCATTCCATCATCTTTTAGTACATTAAGAGGTATTCAAAAGCTTGATCTGTCTCACAATAATCTGTCTGGCCAAATACCAAAGTTCTTGGATACCTTTGCCTTGTTGAAATTGAACTTATCGTTCAATGATTTCGAAGGTGAGGTTCCAACAAAAGGAGCTTTTGGAAATGCTACTGCTATATTAGTTGATGGAAATAAGAAGCTTTGTGGAGGCATATCTGAACTTAAGTTGCCTAAATGTAACTTCAAAAAGTCCAAGAAATGGAAAATACCTCTTTGGCTCATATTGCTATTAACAATAGCATGTGGTTTTCTTGGGGTAGCTGTTGTGTCATTTGTTCTGCTTTACCTGTCGAGAAGGAAAAGAAAAGAGCAATCTTCGGAATTGTCATTGAAGGAACCACTGCCAAAAGTTTCTTACGAAATGCTTCTTAAGGCAACTAATGGGTTCTCTTCAGATAACTTAATTGGTGAGGGTGGCTTTGTTTCTGTGTACAGAGGAATCCTTGATCAAGACGATACAGTGGTTGCAATAAAAGTTCTAAATCTTCAAACTCGAGGAGCTTCCAAGAGTTTCGTGGCTGAGTGCGAAGCATTGAGAAATGTACGCCACCGGAACCTACTAAAGATCATCACTTCTTGCTCAAGTGTTGATTTTCAAGGAAATGAATTTAAAGCTCTAGTTTATGAGTTTATGCCCAATGGAAGTCTCGAGATGTGGTTGCATCGAAATTCAGAAATAGATAGTCATCAGGATGAACCTCGACGTCTGGATCTTCTCCAGAGGATTGACATTGCCATTGACGTGGCTTCTGCACTTGATTATCTTCATAACCACTCCCACATGCCCATCATTCATTGTGATCTGAAGCCAAGCAACACTCTTCTCGACAGCAACATGACTGCCCATGTTGGAGATTTTGGTCTTGCAAGACTTAGTCCAGAACTCACAAACTTCAATCAGAGCAGCTCTGTTGGATTAAAGGGAACCATAGGATATGCTCCTCCTGGTAAAACTAAAATGTTGGAATGGAGGATGTGCTTACTACAAGATTACCTTTTTTAAAAAAATTAGAAACAATTACTACTGCCTTTTTCTAATGTAAAATTCTTGAATGCAGAGTATGGCCTTGGAAGTCAAGTTTCAATTTACGGAGATATTTACAGTTACGGGATCTTACTGTTGGAAATGATCACAGCGAAGAGGCCTACTGACTACATGTTTGAGGGAACTCTTAACCTTCATGGATTTGCAAGAATGGCTTTGCCTGAACAGGTCTTGAATATTGTGGATCCATCACTTCTATCTTCTGGGAATGTCGAGGCTGGCAGGATGAGCAATATTGTGGATCCAACAAGTAGCAGCAATGAAATTGGAAGAGTCTGGAAAATCCAACAAGTAGCAGCAATGAAATTGGAACTCTTGTGGAATGTGTGACTCCCTTAATCGAGATTGGACTATCATGTTCCAGGGAGTTGCCTCAAGATCGTTTAGAAATCAGTCATGCCATCACTGAATTATGTTCCATCAGGAAAATTCTTCAGTGAATGCTCTGTTTTTTGTAGAAATATTGTTGCACGTGATTTACAATGTCGCTAGTCAATTTTCAAAGAGGGCAATAGCAGTGTAAACCATGAAGTACGTCCATGTCACTAAGAGGGTCAAGCCATAAAAGGCCACCACAGAATATGAACATAAGAACAAAACCAAGACCTAGAGGAACCAGAATCAAGTGTGCAATCATCCTTCATCTCATGCTCAAGATTTTTCCTCCTCCTCTTCTTCTCCTTATGAACAAATAAATATAACCTTTAGCGATCAATTTTTTTTATATTTATGGATAATTTGATTTTTTTATATTTTAG